TGCCGTGGCCAGCGGGCGGCGCCGGCCCTGGGGGGACGGGGCACATGCCCAGAGCCTCCTTTCTGCCACAACACCGGGGCTGCTGGATGAACCTCGTCTCGTAGGGGTTAATGCGAGCCCCTGGATTCCTTTAACCCTTCCCTTCCCTTCCCTTCTGGCCCCCGCACACGCTCAGGCTGGCAACGGGAGTGTCGCCTGGGGCCAGATTTGAACCTGAATTCGCCGTGCAGTTCTTAAGCCCAGAGACCGATGCTCGCGCTGGCAGTGTCAGCCTGGAGACCTGCGGGGGTCCCGAAAGAACTAGTCCTGGAGGACAGGTCCCCCAGCGGGCGGTAGCCAGCACAGGCAGGACTGGTGCCTGCAGCCTCAGGGAACGAATCGCTTGGTTCCATTCTGTTCGTTCCCTCGGGGCACCTGGCGCCGGCCGCGGGCGGAAGACGGGACACTGGGCCGCTCTGTTCTTGTAGCTCGAAGGCTGGGCTGTGGGGGGCCTTAGCCCACCCCGTGTCTGCCCCTGCAGTCAGCCTCAGCCCCAGCAAAGCGCCCTGCTGTCTTGGAAGGGGAGGGCTGGCTCCTGCCGCAGGTCTGAGGGGACACGGGGCCTGGCTCCGCACAATGTCCCAGACAGGCTGCTCCCGCGTGGCACTGGGAGGCAGGATGAGGCAGGCGCAGGGTGAACTGGGTGCTGGGAAGAGTCCTCACCAGGCCGCGGGGGCTGGGTGGGAAGGAGGGACTCTGCAGGGGTGTCCGTCCCGGAGCCCAGCCAGGGCCTGACCCAGCATCGTGCCGCCCACAGGGAGTACGAGCACAGCGCGCTGAAGAAGAAGTTCACACAGGCCCGGGCCTACGACTCCGATGAGGACGAAGGTTACGACTGGGGCCCAGCCACGGACCTGTAGCCCCTCAAATGGGCCTCCTCCCCCTCCACTCTGCCTGCTAGAAAGAGCCTGTCATGCTGCACCGTCTCGTTGATGCCCAGGACCAGAGCAACACCCCCCAGGCCCCCATTCCTTTCTGCCCTGGGTCCAGCCCTCCGTCCCTTCTCAGCGGGGGCTGGCTCGCTCTGGCACACTGAGGTACAGGGCTAATCTTCCTAAACCCAGGGCTGAGGGCAGCAGGCTGCTAGCGCTTGGCCTGAGCTGTTCTCCTGGGGCCCCAGCCTCTGAACACTTCCTAGATTTTAATTCTCCTCCCCCTCGCTGGAGCCAGAGCCCAGCCAGCCCCCATCTCAGGCAAGTGCAGCTCTGCCCAGGGTGAGTCACGGGGCAGGGCTCCCTGGCTGGGGCGGTAAATAGCCCTGCCTTTGTCTGTATTAAATAAAGGGACTTTTCACTAACTCTGTGGTCTCCATGTCCTCCAGAAGGCGGGGGCCTGGGGGGGAAGATGGTGGACTGGACCCAGCCCTGTGGGCAGTGGCTTGGCTCCAGGGGTGGGGAATGAAATGCAGGGAAGAGCAACAGCCTGAGCCGCTGCTGCCCTGGCTGTGTGCGCTGTACAGGGCAGCAGCATGGCCGTGCGCCCGCCTAGCTGCAGGGAAACGGAATGGCATGGCGGCTGAGGGCAGCTGGCCTGGCACAGCTCAGCTGGACTGCTGCAGGCTCTGCTCCTCAGCCTGCCCACGGTAGAGCTGTGCACAGAGGACTGCACCCAGCTGGGCCTAGGAGCAGCGCTTGCTACCACATGGAGCACTTAGCATTCGCAGCAGGGCTTGGCCCCAGCATGGGCAGAGAGGGGAAAGTGATCAGGAATAGTCAGCATGGATTCACAAAGGGCAAGTTGTGCCTGACCAATCGGATTAGATTATGATGAGGTAACTGGCTCGGTGGACATAGGGAAGTCAGTGGATGTGATATACCTTGACTTTAACAAGGCTTTTGATACCGTCTCCCACAATATTCTTGCCAGCAAGTTAAGGGAATGTGGATTGGATACATGGATGGTAAGATGGATAGAAAGCTGGCTAGTGTCAGGCCCAAAGGCTCGCTGTCTGGTTGGCAGTTGGTTTGTAGCGGAGCCCTAGGGATCGGTTCTAGGACCAGTTTTGTTCAACATCTTTATCAATGACCTGGCTGAGGGGATGGATTGCACCCTCAGCAAGTTCGCAGATGACACTAAGCTGGGGGAGAGGTAGATACGCTGGAGGGCAGGGATCGGGTCCAGAATGACCTCGACAAATTGGAGGATTGGGCCAAAAGAAATCTGATGAGGTTCAACAAGGACAAGTGCAGAGTCCTGCACTTGGGACGGAAGAATCCCAAGCATTGTTACAGGCCGGGGACCGAATGGCTAAGTAGCAGTTCTGTAGAAAAGGACCTGGGGATGACAGTGGATGAGCAGCTGGATATAAGCCAACAGGGCGCCCTTGTAGCCAAGAAGGCGAATGGCATATTAGGGTGCGTTAGGAGCATTGTCAGCAGATCCAGAGATGTCATTATTCCCCTTTATTCGGCTCTGGTGAGGCCACATCTGGAGTATTGTGTCCAGTCCTGGGCCCCCCACTACAGAAAGGATGTGGACACATTGGAGAGGGTCCAGCAGAGGGTGATGAAAATGGTTAGGGGGTTGGAGCACAGGACCTATGACCAGTCCCGGGCCCCCCACTACAGGAAGGTTGTGGACACATTGGAGAGGGTCCAGCAGAGGGTGATGAAAATGGTTAGGGGGTTGGGCTTGTTTAGTCTATAGAAGAGAAGAGTGAGGGAGGATTTGATAGCAGCCTTCAACTTCCTGAAGGGAGGTTCCAAAGAGGATGGAGAGAGGCTGTTCTTGGTAGTGACAGATGGTAGAACAAGAAGCAATAGTCTCAAGTTGCAGTGGGGGAGGTCTGGGTTGGATTTTAGGAAAAACTATGACTAGGAGGGTGGTGAAGCCCTGGAATGGGTTCCCAAGGGAGGGGGGGGAATCTCCATCCCTAGAGGCGTTTAAGTCTCAGCTTGACACAGCCCTGGCTGGGATGATTGAGTGGGGTTGGTCCTGCCTAGGGCAGGGGGCTGGACTCGGTGCCCCCTGAGGTCTGTGCCAGCCCTAGGACTGTAAGTTCTGGTGCTCCACCCCCTCTCCTCAGCTGGAGCTGGGCAGGCCCACCTGCCCCACACCTGCGCCCCTGGGCTATGTCTACGCTCCTGGCTTCTTGTGCAAGAAATATGCAAATGAGGCTCAGCGTGGAATGTTGCTGAGCCTCATTTGCATACCTAATGAGCCACCATTTTTGCAGCCGAGGCTCTTGTGCCAGGAGCTGTCTGCATTGCCCCCGCCAGCCGCGGGGGGCAGGAGCAAAGCTGGGATGGGGGGGGGGCCACCACTGGGGAGCCCTCTGCTGGTCTGGCTGGGGACCAGCTAGGGGGAGCTGATTGCTGGCAAAGGGACAGCGGCTCCCCTTCCCCCGCCCAGGGCTGTTTGCTGCACCCCTTCCGGCAGGAAGCAGGGCCCCAGCCCCACACGCCCGCAGGGCAGTCCCCCCCACGCAGGTCAGTGCAGGACACGTCAGCCTTTATTCCCACAGCAGCAGGCAGTACAGGTTAAAATCACAGCGCAGGCCAGTAGCAAGAAGCTGTTACTGCGGTTACCCCAGCTGTCAAACCTCCCCCCCTCCTCTCATGCTGGGCCCAGCACCTTCCCCAGGGCCAGCCCCAGCCGTGCCCGTGGGCAGGGGTGGCTGGCCCCAGCAGCAGGGAAGGATCACTGCCCACAGCACAGTCCCTTTCTCCTGTGCTCCACCAGGCCACTGCTGCCGGCTTCAGCCGGATGTGCCCCAGGCCCTGGAGTCTGGCCGATAGAGCAGGCACATCATGGCTCCTGCCGCTTCCCTTTGAGTGCGGGTGCAGGCAACCCCTCCCCCCCGACAGCACCTCTGGCCCTGCTGGCTCTGGCTCAGGCCCAGCCCACCACACTAAGGCACTGGGGCAAAGGAAGCAGCTTGCGTTCCCCAGGCCCCACTCCGCCCTGTGAGACAGGACCCAAGGGGCTGAGCATACAGAGGCCCAGGAGAGGAGCCAAGTTTGGGTCTCTCACCCTGTCCAAACGTGGGTTAAGGCCTGGTCTGAAGCCCCCCCTGGGGAGGCCAGGCAGAGCACCCCCAGAAAAGGCCAGCGGGTATATGGTGGGGGTTGCCTTGTGGGTCCCTGTACGAGACGAAAAGTGGCAGGATCTGGCCCCCAGCAGCCTCGAGGGAACCGGAGATGTTGCCTGTCCTTCCCTTGGGGGCAGCTGCTCTAGGCCAGGGCCCCAAAGCCAGGCAGCTGCTGCAGATCCAGCTTGGTAATGCAAACTCCGCCCTTCAGAGGAAGATGGGCTGCTCCTGGCCGGTCAGTAACCGGTAGGTGGAGGCCGGCATGGTCTTGATGTGGACCTGGAGTGAGAGAGAGTGAATCAGCTGGGAGGACTCTGTTCAGACACGCACTTGGGTGGGAGATATGCAGCCATCTGTGGGGTGGGGTGGAGCTGCTGGTTTAACCAGGCACAGCTACCCGCACAAAGCAAGGTCGGGCAGGAGATGGAGTGTCCTGCCCAGGTTAAGGGGCAAACAGGAGGACCTGCGAGAAAAGACCAACAGTTCTTAGCAGAATCCTGCTTGCAGGGGAGCTCAGGCTAGCTGGCTGGGAGTCCCAGGTTAACCCTGCCAGCTGCCCAGGGCTCAGGCACAGGTGAGGGTAAACAGCCATCACTTGCCACTCCAGGAAATGTAACCCTGCTAGCCTGTAGATGGTCCTCGGGGACCCTGCCATGCACCACCTGCACCTTAGTTAGTGCCGGCAGCTCCTGAGCTGACCTGCAGGCAGAGAAGGGCAGCTGGTAAGAACGAGTCGCAGCCCTTGGCAGGGGGATGCAGGCAGAGGAGGGGCAGTGGGAGCTGCACGGGGAAAGGCTTTGCTCCCACAGTCCAGGCAGACAAGGTGTTTTAACCAGTCGTGTGACTAGGGATCCCGCCCACTGCAGAGCAGAACCGGGAATCCTAGAACACTAGGACTGGAAGGGACCTTGAGAGTCATCAAGTCCAGACCTCGTACCATCTAGATCATCCCCGATGCATATCCAACCTGCTCTTACATATCTCCAGCGATGAGAGATTCCACGCCCCCCTAGGCAATTCATTCCAGTGCTTAACCACCCTGACCGCTAGGAAGTTTCTCCCAGGCTGTGTCTAGACTGGCAAGTTTTTCCGCAAAATCATCTGATATTCTGGAAAAACGTGCTAGCTGTCTACACTTGCTGCTTGAATTTCCGGAAAAGCACTGATGATCTCATGTAAGATTGTCCGTGCTTTCCGGAAATACTACGCTGCTCCCGTTTGGGCAAAAGTCTTTTCTGAAAGACTTTTGCGCAAAAGGGCCAGTGTAAACAGCACATGCGAAAATGGCGATCGGGGCTTTTTTGCAGAAAACTGCGTCTAGATTGGCCACGGACGCTTTTCCGCAAAAAGTGCTTTTACGGAAAAGCATCCTGCCAATCTAGACGTGCTTTTCCGAAAATGCTTTAATGGAAATCTTTTCCGTTAAAAGCATTTTCGGAAAATCATGCCAGTCTAGACGTAGCCCTAGTGTCCAACCTAAACCTTCCTTGCTGCAATTTAAACCCACTGCTTCTTGTTCTATCCTCAGATGTTGAGAATTTTTCCTCTCTCCTTTTAACAACCTTTTAGGTACTTGAAACTGTCATATTCCCTCTGTCTTCTCTTCTCTAAACTAAACAAGCCCAGTTCTTTCAGTCTTCCTCCATAGGCCATGTTCTCTAGACCTTTCATCATTTTTGTTGTTCTTCTCTGGACCTTCTCCAATTGGTCCACATCCTTCCTGAAATGTGGTGCCCAGAAATGGACACAATACTCCAGTTTAGGTCTAACCAGCGCAGAGTGGAGCAGGAGAATGACTTCTCGTGTCTTGCTCACGACACTCCTGTTAATGCAGCCCAGAATCAGGTTTGCTTTTTATTGAAATGTCACTTTTGACTCCCATTTACCTTGTGGCCCACTATGACCCCTAGATCCCTTTCTGCAGTACTCCCTCCTACACCGTCACTTCCCAGTCTGTATGGCTGTGTCTACACTGGCATGAATTTCCGGAAATGCTTAAAAGGGAATACTATTCCATTTTAAGTTTTTCCGGAAAAGGAGCATCTACATTGGCAGGCTGCTTTTCCGGAAAAGCCCTTTTTCCAGAAAAGCATCTGTGGCCAATGTAGACGCGTTTTTCCGGAAAAGAGCCCCGATCGTCATTTTCGCGATTGGGGCTTTTTTCCGGAAAAGACTACTGGGCTGTCTACACTGGCCCTTTTCCGGAACACTGTTCCGGAATAAGGACTTACGCCCGAGCGGGAGCAGACTAGTTTTTCCGGAATATCGGCTGATTTTGTACAGTAGAGCATCGTTGCTTTTCCGGAAATTCAAGGGCCAGTGTAGACAGCTCGCAGCTTATTCCGGAAAAGCGGCTGATTTTCCGGAATAAGTGGCCCAGTGTAGACACAGCCTGTGTGTGAAACGGATTGTTCCTCCCTAAGTGGAGTCCTTTGCATTTGTCCTTATTGAACTTCATCCTCTTTACCTCAGAGCATTTCTCCCAGGTCACTGTTATCTAGATCATTTTGAATTAAGACCATTCGTGCTCCATTATCTTTCCTGACACAGAAGCTAAGCGGCCTGGGCTGCCCTTATTCCCCTTATCCCAGTCTTCTGGGATCTCTCCCGACTTCCATGACTTTCCACAGATGATCGGGAAAGGCTCAGATACCTCCTCTAGCAGCTCCCTGAGTATTCTAGGCTGCATTTCATCAAGCCCGGCGACTTGCAGGCATTGAACTTTTCTAAGTGATTTTTAACTTCTGTTTTTCCTACTTTCACTGTTAAGCCTCCAGTCACCACCAAAGGCTGGGAAACAAACTGGGGGGAGTGAGCCCCACATCTACTCCTACAAGAGATGGGTCAGGAGCCACAGGATGGGAGTGAGCCCCCCCTCCCAACAGGGCAGGGTCTGTCCCACATCAGACTCCCCCTGCTATGGCAGTGGTGTGCTCCGTATCTGCTTCTTCCTCCCCAAAGCCAAGGCAGGGGGCTCAGGGCTGGCATCTGCCTCACACCAGCCCCGACAGGGCAGGGGGCCTGGCCCGCTCACCTCGCTGACGGCCTGCGTGAGGATCTGGATGATCTTCTCGTGCGGGGTGGCCACCACGCTCCGCCCATTGATCTCAATGATGCGATGGCCCACGCGGATGCCGCCTCGCTCTGCTATCCCCCCGCGCATCAGGCTGCAGATCTGACAGCAGGGGGTGCCGGTGAGAGCAGACTAGCCCCTGCCCAGCGCCCCCCCCACAAAGCTCGCCCTTCCCTCCCTCGGGCTCCTCGGCCCGCACACTGCACAGCACCCCCGCTGCTCGCTCTGGGCCACGGCAGCGGGTTTGTTCCTGGAGTCCTGGTTCCGAGCCATGGGAGCAGCAGGACAGCGCCAGGGAGCGGGGACGCAGCAACGGCCGTGCAGGGGGGAGCACAGGGAGACTGCAGGCGCTCAGCGCCCTGGGGCAACGCGCTCGGGCCTCACTGTATGTCCCTCCCCCCCTCCAGCCGGTGCCCCCACGCAACCAGCCCCAGCGATTCCCTCGCTCTCCTGGAACCAGGCAGCCCCAGGCCAGGCGCCCGCAGCTCCGTGGCTGGCTGGAGGTTCTCCCAGGCTCGAGCAGAGCCAGCCGCTGAGCCCACCGGTTCTCGCCCCAGGGCCCCCCCACTCACGATGCCGTCCTCCACACAGAAGCCCAGGGGGTACTTGGAGTCGGGCCGGCGGACGATCGCGGTGGTGACAGGCGGGCAGTGCACGATGCTCAGCGTCACCTCCGTCTGCGATTTCAGGTCCTGCCGGGGCGGGGGAGGAGGGTGCGTTAGTGCCGCAGGGGCCCTGATGGAAGCTGTCAGGGCAGCCCGTCCGCAAGGCAGACACAGGGCAGCTGAACACCCAGTGGGCAGCACAGAACATGGCCCCTGTGCTCCATGCCTTATCCGCAGGGTGTCAAATTACATTTAGAGGAGGGGAAACCGAGGCTCAGTCTTGCCCCAGGCCATACTGCAGGTCAAGGAAAAGAACCCAGGTGTCCGAGTCTGGCTTGCCCCGCTCTAACCGCTAGGCCATGCTGCCCTCTTCTCCCCACACCCTAGCCCCAGTACAGGTGTGCTCCTCACACTGGGCAGTGCTGGGCTTGCCCATCCTCCACTCAGAGACACCCCCCAGAGGCAGCTTCCCTTAGGCTCCCATCCCAAACACCAGGGCTTGAGGCTGAGACTGATCCTCCCAGGGCCAGCACATGGCTGGGTCCTTCACCAGCCTCCCACGAGGCAGAAACTCCGGCAGAGAAATCAGCCCGGGCACTGGGAGTCAGGTCACCTGGGTTCCCTGCTGGCAGATGCTTGCAGACTTAGTCGGGCAGGTCTCCCTGCACCCCGACCTAGCTGCTCATGGGGGCTCCTGGACCCAGCCCGCTCCCTGGCAGGGTGGCTCCAGCCCTGCTCCACCCCCATCCGGCTGCAGCCTCCTGCACCGGCTCTCAGGTCCCTCAGCATGGAGCGCACTGGGCTGAGCGCCTCCGATGGAAAGGGGGCTGCTACGCGGCCTCAGGAACTGTTCCCCTTGCCCCTCCCCAACCCCCACCCTTCACTGCCCCCTCCTCCCTGTCCTCCCGCTCCCTGGCAGGGTGGCTCCAGCCCTGCTCCACCCCCATCCGGCTGCAGCCTCCTGCACCGGCTCTCAGGTCCCTCAGCATGGAGCGCACTGGGCTGAGCGCCTCCGATGGAAAGGGGGCTGCTACGCGGCCTCAGGAACTGTTCCCCTTGCCCCTCCCCAACCCCCACCCTTCACTGCCCCCTCCTCCCTGTCCTCTGTTCCCCTTGCCCCTCCCCAACCCCCACCCTTCAGTGCCCCCTCCTCGCTGTCCTCCCAGGTTCACTCCACTATCCCCATCAACCCCGCCCCATCCCCCTCCCTCGCCACTATCCCTCCAACCTCCCCTCCTCACCCGGATGACGTTCTGGCAGGTGCCGAGGGGCAGCCCCACCAAGCTGGTCCCATTGACGGACATGAGCCGGTCCCCGATGCTCAGCTCCCCACACTTCTCCGCTGGGCCTCCGTGCATGAGGTTGGCGATGACCACGGTGGGCAGGATGGAGCCCCAGCCCGACTCCACGACAGCTACGCCAAGGATCTCCCCCTTCTGCTTGTGGATGCAGATCTGCAGGCCAGGCACAGCAGTGAGCCAGGCGGGCCCAGGGGACTCTTGGGGCTGGCTGGCTGGGCAGAGCAGGGCCCGGTGAGCCAGGTGGGCCCAGGGGGACTCTTGGGACTGGCTGGCCGGGCAGAGCAGGGCCCGGTGAGCCGGGCGGGCCCAGGGGACTCTTGGGGCTGGCTGGCTGGGCAGAGCAGGGCCCGGTGAGCCAGGTGGGCCCAGGGGGACTCTTGGGACTGGCTGGCCGGGCAGAGCAGGGCCCGGTGAGCCGGGCGGGCCCAGGGGACTCTTGGGGCTGGCTGGCCGGGCAGAGCAGGGCCCAGTGAGCCGGGTGGGCCCAGGGGACTCTTGGGGCTGGCTGGCCGGGCAGAGCAGGGCCCAGTGAGCCGGGTGGGCCCAGGGGACTCTCGGGGCCGGCACAGAGAACACTGCAGAGCCAGGAGCAGGCTCCAGCGCAGGCCCCAAGAGCACGGGGTGGCTCATGGCTACTCCAGACCCAGATCCCGGAGGGGTGGGTGCAGCACTGGCCCTGGGAGGGCAGGGGAAGCACGGTGATGCCATAGGGAGAAGGGAGGCCCTGGTGGGTGAAGCACACGAGGCTCTGCCCTGCACGGAGCTCAGCTGGAGCGTGAGGTGCCAGGGAACCCGCCCTATCCCGCCCCTGCCGGTGGCCCTTACGTCCCTGCAGTTCTCCTGCTTGGAGAAGTGGGCCAGGTCCCCGTTGTGCAGCTCCCGGCTCTCCAGGGCACAGCTGTCCTGGCGGGGGGGCAGCTGGCTCGGGTCGATGCCGCTGGCCTGCAGCACCTGCTGGTAAGCCAGGCTGAAGGCCTGCCCGATGGCCTGAGCAATGAGCTGCGCCTGCAGGAGGAGACGCCCGC